CTCCTTTATTTTCAAAGTCCACTCAGCTAGTAAGGAAAGTCCAGATTGCACAGCATTGACAAGATTTCAGTCCCTGTTGACTGATATTTCCTCTGGGATTCTTTTCCAGAAACACAAAATTTTTCTCGCGGTGAAATGACCTTGGGCCAGCTTGCTAATTATACACTTGCTATTTATCAGACAGTTCTTTTTGAGAAAAAAAAAACAAGCTGGCATGCTGGTTCGCTGCTTCCTCTCCTTTTGGTCAGGTATTTTGACATTAGTTTCTTCAATATATTAATGAGGTTATTCATAAATCAAAGGCTTACTTTGCTGTTGTTCTGTTCTCCTTCCTCGGCAAGTTGGGGGTGGAGTTTTCTCACAGCTTTCTGCCATAAGATATGGCCTCCCATCTCCGGTCTGTGCATGGATGAATTTTCAGAGGGAAGAAAGACCCGGTTGCTGCCAAATCTTCTACCTTCTGGGCTCACCATCTGCTTGGGGGTACCTCTCTTGGCCCCCCCTTCCGTCCCCTCCTTTCTAGAGGGACGGCAGGCCGGGCGGTTCCAGTTTTTCCCCAGAGCTGTTCACCGGGTACTGCTGGCCTCACTGCAGTCAAGCTCCGCCCAGACTCTTACATTTCCTGAGGTAAGAAATCACTGAAATCTGAGGAATCGTGTTATTTTTGGTTGTGTTAAAAATGCTTATTTTTATGCATCCCACTTTAGCTTTTTATCATTTATTTTAGATTCTTTCAGTGACCTTTACGAGAAATAATGCTCAAAATAATTCTAAATTACTAAAATTTTGATTTTGTATCAGATGACTAACTTGGGAAGTCCACACCTATATAATAAACGATTGCTGCTTAGAAAATATGAGGTAATAATAACCAGTCTTATGGCAGATGTTTCATATGTCACTGATACAGTACATATTTCATATGCTTTCCCAAACAGAATAAGAATTCAAATAGTATCCAATTGTATTCTGTACTCACTGTTGAGTTTATACCTCAAGAGTATTCATAGGTGTGGGTCAGTACAACTAACTGTATGTTATAAAGAGGTTAGTTGTCTGTATCCCAGGGGGCTTTGACATTGTTTTCTGAAAAGCTGCTCACCCAAATTGCATGCCAGTTTTTGAAA